TGGGGGGGGGGGGGTTAAATCTCACGGAAGCTATCACTTGCGCCCAAGCATGTAAAGGTGCGTGCTCGCGCAAGAGCCCCCCCTGCGCGACACTTCTTCCGGATTAATCCCTCCTCGATGCAACAAAAGCAGATTAAATCCGACATTTGGCGTTACATAAGGGCGCGGGAGCAACGCCGACCCCTGCCTCCCCCTGGGCCCGCCCCGGGGGGGGGGGGGGAGACGTTAAATGGTGGCGGGAGGGAGCAAGCCGGATGGAGGGAGATCCCGGGGCCGCGAGTTCGTTACCAGCCAGGAGGAGGCGGCGGCATCCGTCGGGCAGAGCCGAGAAGCCCCCGTTGCAACGGAACTATTCCGGCCGCCCCGCTGCCGGAGCTTTGCTGCGGGAACACCAAAGGGCGGTATCGCGCTTTACTCCGCCCCAAGCAGGGCGGAGATCTGGGTCCTCCGGCTCTATTTAGTGGCAACGTTGCCGAAGCAGGTTGTGGGGTTTGTTTTAATGGTGCTTGTGGACGGGGGGCGGGGGGAGAAGCATGCCCTCTTAAGGCCGGCTGGAGAGGCAGCTGTTCTTTTCCCCACCCTGCCCAAGGAAGGGAGCTTGCTTTCTGGCGAGGCTCCTCTACTGCTGATGGCTTTCCTCGTGGGCTCAGCAAGAGGCAGCGCATCCACCCGAGATGGAGGGCTCGGGATTCCCCCCCCCCGCGTGTTCGGACTTCTAGCCGGCAGCGCGATGCCTCAGGGCCTGTGGGCCTCGCCGCCCGTCGTGGCTCTTCGATTGTATACAAGGACCACACCGACTTTCTGAATCACCCCTATGCATGTATGCAGGCATGTGTGCACATTTATTTATTTATTTATTTATTTATTTATTTATTTATTTATTTATTTATTTATTTATTTATTTATTTATTTATTTCCCTTCCTTCCTTCCTTCCTTTATTTATTTAAGGAGGCCCAAGCCGGGAAGGCGTGTGGGTCTCCAGATGTCTTGGAAGCCACTCGTCAAGCTGGCCAGTGTTGCTCAGAGGTGCCATCAACATCTGGAGGGAAGAAATTCTTATTTTACTACGTCATGAAGGAGATTAAAGCCCTGGCTAGTTCAGATTCTTCACTTTCCGACTCCCACAGGCAAAGCTGAAGTGTCTGAGAAACCAGGATATAAAAAGAATCGGGTCATGCCGCCCCTCGCGGTTGCCTCCCCGCGATTAGTTTTCATTGCTAAACTGAATTTCAACTTCGTTGTTGGTAGATACTAAACTCCCCACCCCCCTTTTGTTCTCATTTTAAAGCCAATGAACTCCGTTAATTAATTATATGTTGTACAAATAAGTACTACTGTGTCTTCTGCCCCATGTTTACATGCTTCTTCTTTCTTTCAAATAAGAAAAACTTTATTTTTATTTATTAAATTATTTTTCACTACCTTTATATCCCCCATTTCTTCCAAAGAGGTAAAAGTGGCATACTTAGATGCTGTAAAGTTGGTATAAGATGCTCAAAAGTGGTTTGTGAGCTCCTCCTTTTCCTGACACTCTGGGACCTTGCAGGTTCTCCAAGGCCACACAGGTGGCAGGGCAGACTCATAATCCCCATCAGTCACACAGAATTGCAAGTAATCTCATCTGGCTCCCCTCCCTGGAAGCACAATGACATTTTGAGCCTCCATTTCCTGAGGTTCACAGTCAGTTGCTCCGACCACTTAGCCTCACTATCCTACTATTTCTGCAGTGGATGTGGTCAAAGGAGGTAAATAGGATGATGGCTGGGGGAATCTGCCCATCCCAGCAAACTCCCAACCCTCCAGTGTGATCCAAATGAGCTCCAGGGGGTTCGAGAAAACTACAAGGTTAAGTCTGTTGATTCTCATGCCAACATTGCAAAGTAGAACTAGCAACACACCCACAAACCGTACAGGCTCTCGGTAGATGGGCAAGGTAAGGCCTGATTTTAGCCAAAAAGCCAGACAATTGAATGGAGGCAGGGCGAATTATGTTTTATTAAAGATAGTGAAAGAGACAAAAGTTTTTTAAAGGTTTCAAAAAAGAGCATCAAATTATTCTGGAGCAATACAAATGTAAGGCAGGAGCAATGCAGAGCAAACAAACTAGAAAATAAGAAATCTAGTACTTACACATTAGCATTGCTTCACCATGGTCTCAGAGCATGCACAGAGTGCACTGCTTATAGCAGGACAACAATTAGGCTGAGCCTAATGTCTTCTGAGATAACTAAGATAACTTCCAAACTTCTTTTTAATTTTGTTGTTTAGTCATTAAGTCATGTCCAACTCTTTGTGACCCCATGGACCAGAGCACGCCAGGCCCATCTGTTGATTTCCATGTATAGAGTCGCCTCTTGTGTTGTTGGAAAAGAGTGTTTGCGATGACCAGCTTGTTCTCTTGACAAAACTCTATTAGCCTTTGCTATGCTTTGTTTTGCACTCCAAGGCCAAATTTTCCTGTTGTTCCTTTTATCTCTTGACTCCCTAAAGCATTCCAGTCCCCTATAATGAGAAGAACATCTTTCTTTGGTGTCAGTTCTAAAAGGTGTTGTAAATATTCATAGAATTGGTCAATTTCAGCCTCTTCAGCATTGGTGATTGCTGCATAAACTTGGATTACTGTGATGTTGAAAGGTCTGCCTTGGATTCGTATTGAAGTCATTCTATCATTTTTGAGATTATATCCCAGTACAGCTTTTTCCACTCTTTTGTTGATAATGAGGGCTACTCCATTTCTTCTACAGGATTCTTGCCCACAACAGTAGATAAGATAATCGCCTGAACTGAATTCGCCCATTCCTGTCCATTTTAGTTCACTGACGCCCAGGATGTCAATGTTTATTCTTGCCATCTCTTGTTTGACCACATCCAGCTTACAAAGGTTCATAGATCTTACATTCCAGGTTCCTATGCAGTATTTTTCTTTGCAGCATCAGACTTTCCTTTCACTTCCATGCACATCTGCAGCTGAGAGTCCTTTCAGCTTTGGCCCAACCACTTCATTAGCTCTGGAGCTACTTGTTCCTGTCCTCCGGTCTTCCTTAGTAGCATATTGGACACCTTCTGACCTGGGGGGCTCATCTTCCACTGTCATATCTTTTAGCCTTTTGTTTCTGTCTAAGGAGTTTTCTTGGCAAAGATACTGGAGTGGCTTGCTAGTTCCTGCTCCAGGTGGATTGTGTTTAGTCAGAACTCTCCACTATGACCTGTCTGTCTTGGATGTCCCTCATGGCATTGCCCATAGCTTCTCTGAATTGCTCAATCCCCTTCATCACGACAAGGCAGCAATCTGTGAAGGGATGTTTTTATACCTTATCCATTACCTTTCAGACCCTTGGAGATGGGCCAGCAAACTGGTTTTACATTCCCTTGAATGTTCACAAAGATAAGAGCAGTTCCTGCCCTCTCCCTTCAATGTAGTTGAAGTCATTCCTAAATAGCATAGTACCAGGGAACAAGCCAACACAGCCTTGAGGTTTTAGCTCAACAAGTCAATCACAGGTGGTGCTTCCATTCCTTTGTGGGCAAAAGCTGACTCTTCCCTTTCTCTCTGCCATCCATTCCCGGGCACTGAGAAAAGCCTGAATTTTTCCAGAAAGTTTCCCCAATCCATGCTCCCCCAATTTCTCAGACCCTTCACACAACCCACTGAGTGCTGCCAGCTCAAAAGCAGCATTGTTGTTGTTTAGTTGTTTAGTCGTGTCTGACTCTTCGTGACCCCATGGACCAGAGCACGTCAGGCCCTCCTGTCTTCAATAAAGGGCCTGCTGTGCTACTTTTGCTTCTGTTCTCCTTCATGGATTGCTGTCTTGTCATGGCGAAGGGGCTTGAGTAATTTACAGAAGCTATTGGCTATGCCGTGCAGGGACACCCAAGACGGACAGATCATAGTGGAGAGTTCCGACGAAACGCAATCCACTGGGAGCAGGAACTGGCAATTCCACTCCAGTATCTTTGCCGAAAATACCCCATGAAGAGAAACAAAAGCAAGCCCCTTTATTCTGGGCTCATTCATCTGGCAATTCCACTCCAGTATCTTTGCCGAAAATACCCCATGAAGAGAAACAAAAGCAGGCCCTTTATTCTGGGCTCATTCGGAGAACTGAAAAATAATATCAGACATTCAGTAGTATATTTTGCCCTCTTCCATCTGACCATTTTCCGTGTCACAAGCATTTTTTAATTACAGGCTAGCTACTGATGTAATGTTTGGCATGAACACACAGGCATATATTTAGTGCATATACAGTGTTTCATATTACAACCAAAGGGATAAACATTAAAGAGCAAACCCAAAATGTGCCATTTAAGTGAGTCAAAAATGCCTCTGCTAACGCCCTTGGTCGTGAACAATACATCACAAAATGAAAGCATGCAGTAGATGCATGAGATGTGTGGGTGATGCACTCCTCTTCTGTGGTGGAGCCGCTTGAGGGCAGCAGAATCCCTCAGCCACACTTTGCCTTCAGTATAACAAAGGACCTGTCCTTTTAGACAGCTGGTTTTCTGAGAGGCATGTTGGTTCTCTGGAAACTACAAATTTATCTGTTCCTCTTTCCCTCCTCAGATGTTATGGATTCCAAATAGTATGGGACACACTTACAAACACTACAACACCCACCACCCCAAAACCAGCATTAGTTGGATGGCTGCTGATAGGAGTTGTAGTCTCATACAAGGGGAAGCTACTAGGTTTGGGAATTCTGTTGTCTTATAAATACCAGAAGTTACAGTTACAGTTCAATTGTATTATTTTAATACCAGACACAAGGAGATGGTCTGTACTGGAACATTAGCAAACAAGATGGTTTGCTGGTATAGCGCTTACACCAAGCCGAGACTTCTATATTTACATGTGGTTGTTTGTTTTGGGGGGAGGGTTAGGTGAGAAGCAGGATTTGGCCTGTTTCTGATCGCACCTCCCTCCAGTCAGAGCCCCTGCTTACTGCTGACCTCCCACATACTGTATATAGCCCTGGGGTGAACTTTGTTCTTCTAAAGACATTTTGATTCAGTGACTTCCCAATGCCTCCTCCAGAGGCAACTCTGCCCGGAGTTTCAACCACGACAGCTATGAAACCAAACAACCGCACCATACTGGCTGTCCTAGGAGTCATAAATAATACTTGGCTTTTAGCAGGGCCTGTATGCTGCTGAGGGACTGAAAGTGAATCCTGTGTTTGTTGCATAACAATGGGTAACCCTGTGCCAAAAAGGGTGACTGCGAGCCTTGTCTGTTTATTTTTCCTCTCTTAGTTTATTAGCAAAATTGAGGATGACAGAAGCTTTGGTCTGGACTTCAGAGAGAAAAATGCTGCTTTGAACTACAGCTCCCAGAATCCCCAACCTACATACCAAAACCTCAGCCCAGAAGCCAAGGATCTGGGGCTTCTCAAGTTTAAAGGTCCTAAACATCTGAACAA